GCCTGGAAACTCCAGACGGTAGGAAGTTACCTAGGACCTGGAATGTGGATAACTTGAAAAAGTACCACTTCTAGGAGGATGTAGTCATTTTTTGTAAATATAAGTAAATTAATGAGAAATGCTTTATTTCAATTTATGTGTACCAAAGTCTCGATGTGACTAACACATCCGGGTATTTCTAAAGATCGGGCATCCATTGCCTCAAATGTAAACCAAAAAATGCTAAGTACCTAACTTAGCCGTTTAAAGACGCATGGCCAACATGAGTAAACCGCCTGTTCTACCCATGAACAGGCTTCCGGCAACGCCCTTCCGGGTGAATTTGTCGAAGAGAACATCTCCCTTCCGGGTGGTACATTGTTCTGAGCGTCAAAACGTCGGACGACATTAACCGGCTAGGTTAATCCCATGACCGCCCGAATGACCTATTGCAAACAAGATGAGCCTGTCATTATCCCCAAGGTAATACAGGCGGCAAAATTAAATCTTGTTGGGCAAGCGGCTATTGCCAAAAAGCAACTTAGCCGGCTTATGCGCCCATTAACCAACCTCCAACAGATCTTGACTGGACTGTTACCCCATGGTACCCCAGACGGGGAAATTGCAATTCAAGTTGTAACCTTTCTTGCCTCAAGGCAGCTAAGGCGGTGAAAAAATTCTACCTAACTCCCAATCAAAAGGTAGTCAATCTCATATGGCTGTTACCCCAAGGTAGCCCAGCCGGTAAAAAATATATATAGTCAGCCGGCATAGGCTGGCTTAGACTCCATATGCCTGTTACCCTAATTCGCTGAGTGCGACTCAAGCGGCAATCAGAAATTTAGATTATTGAATCTGGGAATGGGAATGTATGGGCGACTGCTTGCTTAGTGTTTGCACTAAACAATCACCCACCCAGGGGCATGCATAATAAACCCATTCGGCATTGTCAAAAAAAAAAAAAAAAAAAAAAAGAGCATACAAATCGCGAAAAGAAAAAATTAGAACAAGGTTTGCAAAATAACCGACTCAGTCGGCATAAAATTATATTGACATTGGAATATTGTTCAAGTGTTAACCGGACCCCCGTCCGGTGAGAAAAAAAAAAGAGAGATACATAAGAACCACGGCACGCAGGCCGGAAAATAAGAAGACAGAGAGCTTAAGGCTGAGGCGGAGCCTGGTCCTGATCCTGGCTCTGCAAGACGGTTCCCGGGTCAGGAGGGGCAATCTCCTCTTGGTTCTCCTCCCCTTCCGAGCCATTCTCCGCCTGCATGGTCGCGATCTTCTTTTGGACCCATTCCTCATAAGGCTCCGGAGCCGGCTGGTTCGTCTCTTCCGCATCAATGGCAAGATCTGCATATTTATAGGCAAGTTCCCAAACAGTGTATTCCGCGTCCGGATGGACCAGGGACCAAGCCTTCTGCATTCGAGCGATGCAGTCTTGCTCATTCTCTTCGATGAGCCGACTCTGTTCAGCCTCCAACGTAGATTTGAAATTGTCGCTGACTTTGGCTGCCGCCTCCTTCAGGCGGACGTTCTCAGCAAGGAGGTTTGTGTTCTCCTTCCTGGCCACAACCAATAGTTTGGAAGAGTCGTTCACCCGCTTCAGCTCCGCCTCGGCATTATCCTTCTCCGCCTTGAGGTTGTGGATCTTGGTGCCGGCTTCATCGAGCGCCTTCTGGAGCCGCTTGATGTTGTCCGCCTGTTTCATGATTATGCCTTTAGTTTTTAATTCATGCATAATCATGGAATACTGGGCAACGTTATGGGCGTCAGACGCATCCCGTTTAGCCCGTCTTACCTCCTCACACTTGCGGGCATAAGCTTTCTTGAGCCCTTCCACGCGCAGCATTGACTGCAAAAACCCAGACGGTAATTGAGGCAACCAGGCGGCATAATAACTTAAAAAAAAAAAGTTAAGGACTATGTACCTCAGACAGGCCGGCCAAGACCTGGTCGGCGTTGAAGGAATGGATCCTTGGGATCGCCTCCTTCTCCTCCTTTGGGACGGGCTTCAGCATGGCCCGAGCGTACCTTTGTACATCCGGCCAGCGAGGGGAGTGATCTGCACCAGAAACAGACGGTGAGAAGGCAACATACTTCCCTCCTATTGACTGCCGGCTGCCAGAAGAGTCTTCTGGCTGGAGCTGGGACTGCGACTTGACCCGCACAGGCTTGCCAAGCAAAGAAGGGTTGAAGGGGTCAAGAGTACCTTGGGCGGTAGGTTGAGGGTCGTGACTGCCCTTAGCCGGGACTGAAGCACCGGATGCCTTTGTAGGCACCGTCTCCTTCACCGGAGCATCCGGTTGCCTTTTTGACAAGTCGAGCCCCACGCTGAGGTTTTTGAGGGATTTACCCCCAATCGTTAGACGGCTGGGGACCGTCAAAGAAGAAGTCTTCCTCGCCTTGTTCTGGGCAGGCGGCTCCTCTCCAGGCCTTGGCCTGATTATTTTTGAAACTGAATGGGGACCTTGCTCCCATCCTAAAAGTAAACATAGCAGTCAGGCGGCATTGAAACCAAACGGAAATGTATGCAGGAAGAGTGAAAAGAAAGATACCTTCTTTGCCGCCTGAGCAGCAAGTTTTTTCTCCGCATTTGCCTTGCGGATTTCGGCGGCTGACTTTGCAGAACTCTTCTCAGCTGGCAACATTGCTAATCCACGCACTGCACAAAAAAGTACCCATCCGATCAGAAGTAAATAAAACAAGGAACAAATGATAAGATAGGGGCAGTCTCTAATGTGACCTACATTTGTCAAACTGAGTGCTAAGCTTACAGACGGACAATAACGCCTCGTCTCGAAGAAATTCGTGCTTAGGTACCCAATTTCTGGGTACGCTTATTAATTCTCCATTGGAGAGGGGGACGGTGGTCTGTTCGAAGAATTTGGACTCTATTATTCGCTCATAGTCCTCATCCGGAATACGGGGCTTCTTGCATTTATGCCCCAGGAGGTCAGGCTTCCGGTTGTATACCCTATACTCCCGGTTCTCCGTCTTAGTAGGGGTGGATACCAAGTAGAACATGTTTTTCCAATCAGACCACTTAGACGGCTCGTCTAGGGTCATCAGGTACTTGGGATAGGTTGTTAGGGTGTACCAGGCTCTCCAACCGCCTGGGCTTCTGCTCAAGTAATGCATATGGGCGAAAGCCTCCCAGCCGGGGTTTATATCCTGCTTCTCGCAGGCGGCAATGTAACCCACTATGTTAACCCATGAGTTAGGGGTTAACTGCCAAATACCCAGGCCATATCCTCGAAGGATGGCCTTTATTGTGTTATGAAGGGGGAAGCGGAGACCAGCGAGGAATGCCGCCTCATAGCAGCCAAAATACCCGTCTGCATTAGGTTGCTCGTCTTCCCAAACAATAGTGCCCATCTCAGGCGGCACAATTATTTTCCAGTCAACCCCAAGCGGGCGAATCCTCACAAAGTCCTCCAAGTTACTGGCCATACTAGCTCTATCTTTTGCTGAGACGGTGATGAGGTACGGGTCGCCTTTATTACTCCAACCAGGCCTTTCCTCCGCCTCACTATCAGCATCCGGTGTCAAGAGGCTGCTACTGCTGCCGCTTTGCTCTCTACCGGATAGGGAGGCGGTATCGTCGTCGCTGGCACCCTCTTGGTGTACTAGTCCAATTTGAGAAGGCGAGGCGGTTTCTTCCTCGTTTTCCATTACTTCTCTAGAAGGCGAGGCGACCTCTTCCTCGGTTTCTATCTCTTCCAAAATCCCGTCACTGGGAGTGCTTGGGGTGCCAGGCGGGGAATCCCTTGTCCCCTCCGTCTGACTGGGGTCAGGCGGCAGCTCGCCTGATTCTGCCTCTCTGTACTCTGGGTCAAAGGCAGTCTTTTTTGTGCGAGCCTTTGCGTCCTACACAGAGACAGAGACGGTCAGTTTCGGAGAAGAACAAGGAGACTCCCCGTACCCAGAGGCGGCACCCCCAGTCCTAGACTCAGCCGTACCAGGAGACCGGCTGACCTTTAAATTATGGTGTGCCGTGTGTGTAATGGGTGAGGTCATTATTTAAATGTATTTACAACCAAAGATTCAAAAATGAACTCCGAAATAAAGGCAGGAACCAAGACGTTACCTTGAGATTGAATAGAAGTTGAGAGACGGTTGTTGACCTAAGATACCCCAAACGGTATCACTTTGAGCAAACTGCAAATTGGCAAAAGAAGGGAAATTAATCACCAATGTTGGCCAAAGATACCGCAGTCGGGGAAAGCCGGATGGGGGAGAATGACAAGCAAATAATCTGGGATTTTTATCAGATCGGGTAAACACCCCCCAGTCGGCATAAACCGGCTGAGTTTCGCAAAAAGCTCAAAACAGAAGAAGCCAATACAGTCGGCCTAAAGGCCGGCTGTACACTCGTTAAAGAAAAGACTGTTTCAAGGCTCCCCCAAGCGACGAAGACCGACCAAGGGCCACAACAGCAGTTTAGAAGGGGATTGCTTGCTCACCCCCAGACGGTGTGAGACTGGCTGGGTAGGCAGCAAGGCAGGCCAAAAGAAAGTTTGAACAAAGATACCCCAGAAGGTATACACCGGCTGAGGGTCAATTGAAGGCAACTCACCAATGAGATTGCTTGAAGATACCCCAGACGGTTTTCACCGGCTAAGGGTCAATTGAAGGCAACTCACCAATGAGATTGCTTGAAGATACCCCAGACGGTTTTCACCGGCTGAGGTTCTATTGAATGCAACTCACCAATGAGATTGCTTGAAGATACCCCAGACGGTTTTCACCGGCTGAGGGTCAATTGAAGGCAACTCACTAATGAGATTGCTTGAAGATACCCCAGACGGTTTTCACCGGCTGAGGGTCTATTGAATGCAACTCAACAATGTGATTGCTTCAGATACCCTAGACGGTTTACACCGGCTGAGGGTCAATTGAAGGCAACTCACCAATGAGATTGCTTGAAGATACCCCAGACGGTTTTCACCGGCTGAGGGTCTATTGAATGCAACTCACCAATGTGATTGCTTCAGATACCCCAGACGGTTTACACCGGCTGAGGGTCTATTAAATGCATCTCACCTATGAGATTGCTTGTTTGATGCCCTAGACGGTTTGAACCGACTGAGGGCCTATTGAGCACCTTCAATAAATGCCAGAAGATAACTCAGACGGACTACACCGGCTGAGATTTTCAATAGACGCAATTTATACAAAATTGCCTAAAAAGCTCCAAACGGCAAACGCCGGTTGCAGCATAATCAAACATTCAATTAAAAAGTCCGACTGAGTCAGAAGGATACCTTAATGAGGCGGAATGCGTAACTCAAGCGGTATCCAGAAGAGCGGCTGTTTGCGTAAATAAGCAGGCGGGGTCAAGAGCTCTCGCTTTTTTTCTCAAGTAAATTCTCTCAAAAATGGCAAAGTGAGAAATGAAAGGAGGGGGATGCTTATTTATAGGGGTTCCCAGAAGGCGAACCGTCACCCTCCCCCCTCAGTTTGAAATTTGAAAAAAGAGAGGGAAGGAGGCGAATCGTCCTCTTCTTGCTTGGATGGCGCGTGTCACAGGTGCCACGTGGCATAGCCACGTCAGCACCCGTGAGGGGAAAATGTTTAGGGTAAAAGTTACCCTGGACACGTGGACCTATGGGGATCTGACACGTGTCATCCTCCCATTGCACCATGGGATCCAACCACTGGATGCCACGTGGCATCGTACCCCCTATGGGGGAGCAGACCCATCTGCTATAAATAGAGGAATCTACCTCATTTATTGATATTCAGAAAATATACACAAAAAACCCGAGCAATATTAATTGCGGAATCTCCCGGAATCCGAGAGAATCAATTTACCTTCTGCACGTAATTTCATCCGAAGTTATTCTAACTTGACCGTCGGAGGCGAAACTCCACCCAACCGGAGTTTCGTGGTTTTGCAGGTACAGAAGTCAGGCGTACATTACCGGTGCTGTAACTCTCCCGTAGGACACCTTAGAAACCCCCGAAACAGCTGTAATATGATTGTTTCATAAAAATTTGTGGAAGTAATAATATTGTATTTGCTGATAATGTCACAAGTTTGTCATAATAATACACCGATACATTAATAGTAATGTTAAGATTACAATCCAAAATGAACATTAGAACATTAGAATTAGGATGCAAGGTTTCATCTAAAATAATGTCATAGGCTTGAATCCAAAATAAGAACGTTACAGGGTTGATTGCAAAATGAGAATGTTACAGTTTAACATTCTTCCTGCCTAACATCCTTGATGCCTAACACCCTTCCTGTTTAACAATTTATTGCCTTCCTCTAATGCGCGTCTTTAAGTTAGCAAACCTACATACATACGAGCATATTCGAACATATTACCTGAACATTCTTACACACCTGGTCCCTAGTATAACAATATTCACATTACATTAGACTAATATATAATTAATGCCAAGGCTGGAGAATACAGGAATGTAAGAACATAAATATTATCTTGTGCACAAACAAGAGTATGTAGACGAGAACACATAGGTGATGGTAGAATACCTGAATGACACCTTGGACACCTTGGTATGAGGCTCTGATTGGTAGAAAAGATACAAAGGATGAGGATGCACATGTTATGGATGGGGAGGGGAAAGGGGTCGACCTCGACCTCATCTTCCGTTAAGCTTGGAATGAATTCCCTTTCCTCGTCGTTGCTAGGATCCACTAAAATGTAATGCCTTGGAACAACATAAAGTTTTATTGGTCTTTCCAGATCTAGCGATTGTTGGGACTCCCAGAATATGTTCAGCTGTATTTGTTGCTCACTGCTACTAGCGGGAACTAGTTTCATAGCGTTTGTCCAACTTCTTGTTTCTATATTCACTGTAGCATACTTAAGTTCAATCGTTTCAATTATTCGTGGTATAACTGGGGGTGGGTCCAGAATGCATGCAAATTCTGGAGGGATTACATCCAAAGAATCCTGTTCACCGAGTTTGTTCATCATCCAGAAAAATAGCTGCTTCACTAGGGCTATTAGAACGACCAAATCAGAAATATTTGGGAGGTGAACCGGAAGCAAATCCCCATGATTAGACATCATCTTCATATCCTTCCACTCATCCGGTATCTCGGCCGGATTGCAAATAATCTGACGAAGTACCGCCGCAGGAACTACCCTCACATCTTCTTGTCGAAGTGTCTCCATCATGAATTGAATTTTGTTTGGATTGGGGTCTGAAATGCTGGTGGTAGGGAGAGTCAGATCTGAGACATGGGTGTTCCAGGTTTAGACTACCTGTTGGGTGGGTGGGATCTAAGGTGGTGATGCTAATGGATTGGGCCTGCTTGTTGGTGTTGATGATGGAGACGGGGTTGCCGAAAGGGCACCTACTGACCGAACGGGAGAAGGGTTATAGGTTTCATAGTTCAACACCATGTTATTGGGCTTTAGAGAGGGAAGAAAGACAACGTTTCGAGTGACTTAAAATGAGAAACAAATGACATCAAGAACTAGGGCTTACAAGGATGTGTTATTGGGCGCTATTATTGTGGGCTGTGTTATTAGGCTTGTATAGGCTAGTTCACATAAAGATGTGCTGGGAGGTGGGTTTTGTATATTGAGTCTTGTATGGTAGGCTATCCGACGGCTTTTGGGCTGGGCTTTATTCATAATTATGATCCACTGTTAATTGAAATCCATGGTTTTTAAATGCCCCCTTTTAATGGGCTTGTTATGAAGAATTTAGAAACGGTGTCAGCACATTCCAAAATGTCATTGTATTAGCATACTGGGCTCTAAGTACATATTAACCATTTCAACCAAAGCCTTTACATTAAGTCCAAACTAAAAGGTTTTAATATGAAATAAACAAAACAAAATACAAACACATCTATTGACCACTACATCACTTAGCAATACACCTATGATGTTACAATGTTCCAAACATTAGTTGATTCAAGCCATAGTTCGTTTTGCGCCAACACATGCTTATCCCGGAAAATCAGCAACACTTCTCCGATGGCACCATCTTCTGACCTTCCCAACATTCTATAAAAGTGTAAATTGTTACAAATGAAACGACCCATACGAAGCGAACACCTTGTCTCCGTTAGTATAATAAAGTCAAGCATGCGGAGCTCAAACATATGCTGAAGTTGCGGTAGGAATGACGTCCTTGCCACATCCCTGCAATTCCATATCATGACCCTCATCCCTTTGCCTTCATCAGGGCAATTGGTTATGCGGAGCTCAAGTGTCACATTCCTCCCATCAAGTTCATTGCCATTTAACCAACGCCAATTTGCACAAACTTGTGACAACCGTACCATATCCTTAGTGGTGAAAATCTTCAAATCATTAGAGTAGCTATTGATCTCCATTTTATGATTTTCGGCTCCGAGAGAGCATGTTCCATTACAAGAGTGGGCAAAATAGAGCTTGAAGTTACTATATTTTGCACGCACCTAGGGATAACATGTTCCATGCCAATGCCTTCTGCCCCCCCCCCCCCCCCCCCGTTTGCTATAATATTTTGTTGGATTGCTATCTCCAAAGGCAATGGCAGAAGAGCTAAATCTGACAGAAGTGGTATATGGGCCGAGACGATGGAGTTTTTTTTCAGCATCAGCAGGTCACCCTTAGGACGATGCCCAAGGGCTACCTACTTAGCCACAGTAGCTGCAGTTAGTAGCTTTATGCTCAGTTTATGGTCATCTACGCCCTTATATGGCAGAACTAGAGCCAATAATCCCTTCCCCCTTTGGTTGAAACCACCAACAGGTCGTGGTGGCCTATAGGTAATAGTGAGTGTGCTTGTTCGTAAAAGAGTTGCTTGTACCAACCTATTCCTATACAACACAAACTTGTTTTTTACCCTCGTTGTTGATCCAGAACCCTTTCCCCTTTCTTGCCTTAATATTGCTTGCATGTATTTGCAAGCAATTTGATTTGGTCCCACCATCTTTTGTTTGAGTGTTCATTGGTTTTGCCTTGGGGTTTATCTAATTTTTTTTTATGGGATATTCTCTTTGGTGTCCTCGTGGTTTTAAAAATTCTACATGGAAGATAAACTTTTTTTGGACTCTCTTCAGTAGCACCAAGGTTTAGAAAAATTGACCATAGTGGCTTTTTTTATATTTATGGCTAACCTTTTTAGTTAAAATGGTTAACTTTTGGTTTTTTTATTAAAAAATTATTTAAATTATATTTTAAAATAATAAATTAAAAAAATAAAAAAAAATAAAAAAAAGACAAAAAAATTCCCAAAAATTCCCAGCCACTCCACAAACCCTAACATTGCCAGAATCCGGCCAGCCACCAAAACCCGACCACCGAAACCACCTCCCAGCCCAACCCCCGACCACCGAAACCCAGCCCCTACCCACGACAACCCCACCAACACCCACATCCGGCGTCCTCCTCCTGCCGGTTCAGCCCAAGTCTCCGACCCTCACCCACCTACATCAGACCCCCTCCCCTACCGCCGACACCGCGCTTTCCCCACAACAAACAATCACGCAGGGATTTCGGTTGTTGCGGGCTTATGGGGCTGCTGGGTTGCAATTCTTGATTGGTGGCTGTTGCGCGCTGCTTTGGTTGTTGGTTGTTGTTGGGGTTGCGCCATTGCGATGTTGGTTGTTGTTGGGGTTGTGCGACTTCGTGTGCTGCTGTGGTGTGAAGAGATGCGGGCTGGGCGGCTATGGTGGTTGTTTGGTGGAGATAAGGGCGAAGGTTGTGGGTTTTCTGGTTTCTGTGGTCAAGAGCTGGCTGGGAGGTGGTTTTAATGGTCGGGAGTTAGTGGCTGGCCGGATTCCGGCAAGGTTAGGGTTTGTGGGGTGGCTGTGAATTTTTGGGAATTTTTTTGTTTTTTGTTTTTTGTTTTTTTACTTTTTTTATTATTTTTTTAATTTTATTATTTTAAAATATAATTTAAATAATTTTTTAATAAATAAAAAATCAAGGGTTAACCATTTTAACTAAAAAGGTTAGCCAAAAACCTAAAAAAGGTCACTATGGTCAATTTTTCTAAACCTTGGTGCCACTGAAGAGAGTCCAAAAAAAGTTCGTATTCCATGTAGAATTTTTAAAACTACGAGGCCACCAAATAGAATATCCCTTTTTTTATTTTTCCTTATTTTTTGGATTGTGAGTTGGTGTGTGTGTGATAATGTTTACAAATCTTATATAGAGGAGATATATGATGTGTGGTAGCGGTAAAATGAAAATTGTTTGGCGCCTTCTCATGCTTGGGCCATTGGCTTAAAAGCTTGGCGCCTCTTGTTATTTAGGCCCTGGTTGGCGCCATAGTTTTTACCTCCAGGCGCCCTTCAATTTTTTAGCCTTTTTCAAATATATTTTACACATTTTAGAGGAACTATAGTAGTTGGGCTAATTGTGCGCTGGGCCTATGATCCAATAAACTTATTGGCTTGTTAAAAGGGCCATTACACTGGGCCCTTGCTACTAACAACTATTTTTGTTAAAAAAAAAAAAAAAAAAACTTTACACACATAATAACAACTCCGATATTAATAACATATAAGATGTTTTATACTAATCCAAAAGATGATTTATACTAATCCAAAAGATATCCGTACTACTTCCTGCGTTCCTTTTTTAGATGACACAGTTTGACTTTTGCACTATTCACAAACAACACTTTGACTAGCGTTTGTGATTTGTAGCTACGATAAAACATAATCATGTGGGATCTTGTTTGAATCGTTTTAATGTATATTTTATTAATATCCACTTTTTATAATTTTACAATATTGATAATGGGAGATATAACTCGTGAAAATTGTGTGTTGACAAACGTGATAAAAGAAACGTGTCATCTATTAAGGAACGGAGGAAGTATCTAGTACTTGGACAATATTACCTTCACACTTAGTTTATCTGAACCCAGTCTCCGAGCAATCACATATTTATTTACACCAGATCGGAAGGACCAATGTCAATGAACCTCTTACTTGGCTGTTGGTAACAAATTTGTACACAGTAGTCAATAAATTTATGAAACCAATTAATTAAATTGAAGAATGCGAAACAAATTAAACAGCTTGAACATACTAGTAGGAATGAAACAGGGGTCTTACTATGACATTGACAGACATTATATGGCCGTACAATGAGTTTTTCCTGCATGAGAAATAAGGAGATGCACCCTTTGCTCAGAAGAGTACCACTCCCCCTATGTCCGAATTCGGCCCGACAACCTCCATTGTGTAATTTTCTTTAATCTCACTGGCTACATATTTCAACATAGGCTTCTTCACCCTTGCCTCTGTCATAATTACTAACAATGGTGAGTATTTCTCATGAATCACCGAGAAATTGTCGCTAAATGAAGGCCTATGGACATCCCTTGCATTCCAAATCACCACTCTTCTCCCATTGTCGAAAGTTTTTGGCATGAAAACTTATTTGCTCTCTCTGACCCCCACGCTCGAAAGTACCTGTTTCCTTTTACCTTGGTCTTACATGAGTGCATATCGAAATATATTTGCGAAATTGGTTGGTTCACCACCATCACTTGCACACCTGCATTCTTTGCCCTTAAGAATATTTCCCTACGACTAGTTGGGAGATCGTACTGGATTATGTGTTCAGTATTAATTTCAAATCGCAAATCAAAACAAGGATGACGTCTTCAGGTATCAACTCCGGACTGAAGGGAAATTGTTGCAGGCATAGCCATTTCACAAATATTCCCACCTCCTTGTGTAAGTAACCATCAAGATCGGGTAACAGGGGGAAATAAGCTGGCCTGTATTTCCCATCCGATTTCATTGTCCGGAATGGATTCCAAAAGGGGCGTCGTTATATGCATTGTAACACAATTCTTCTCGCAAAGTGGCAAAGTTTGTACATGGACCTGATTGAACTCACTATAATCAAGTGGGTTGCGGAAGAACGGGGTGTTGTTGACACTAATCTCTGGTTTGGTAAAAGGAATGTACCGATTGAAATACATAATAGGGTTAACAGGGTGGAATTTGATTTTATGGCGGCTTGTATTTGTGATCTCCGAACTGGCTAAATGAGAAACAATTGAGGTGCTTTTTTTGGAATACATGATCTCCCTTTTTCATAAGCAACAATGGTGTTTGAATTGATTTTAATTGAATGGGGCAGCTTTAACTCTGTAATTGTGGATGGTTTCTTTGGGAAGACTCGTCAGATGAAGCGTTTTTTTTTTAATTTTTTATATTTATTTTTCTCTCAAAAAAAAGTACAAAATCTAATTCTAATACTCCCTCTGTTCCAGTTTACTTGCAACATTTTGACTGGATACGCATGCCGATGCACATGTTTAACCGTTAATATCTTTTATTATATACTTATATAAGCTATAAAAAGTTTATATTAAGAAACTATACATTAAAATAGACCCAACAACATCTTACATGATTACATTGACTTTTATATAATAGCTAAAAAAGATGGTCAAAATGAGATGTGTGAATAGTGCAAAAAGTCAAAACGTTGCAAATAATTTGGAACCGGGGGAGTATTTGATATTGATGTGGCTAAATGAGTTGACTATTCAACTTTTATAGGATGGCGTATGGTATGTCTATGGGCACACGTTGTAGCAATAGTGTAATGTTTAGTACTTGGATTTCCCCCTTGGATTTACATACAATTTGTGTTAGAGTAAAATTATAATTGAATTTCTGTTAATTTTTTTAGATTTAAATTTCACAATTTCAATGTTGTTGTTGAC